AGCAACTAGTCAACTGTGTATCAGGGACTTTACCCCTTAGCGTTTTTTTAAAAAGGTCTTGGGCTGTCTAATAAATTGTGACCTTTACACTGACAGATACTTGAACATCAATTCACAAATCTGATGTATATATAAATAAATATATTGTATTATTGGTATATGGATTTTATTTTACTCTGTGTGTATGTATGAATGTATGTATGTATGTATGTATGTATGTATGTATGTATGTGTGTGTGTGTGTATATATATTATCATTATTATTTCTTTTATATTCTGACGACGGCCACTGTAAAAAAAAAAACAAAAAAAACAGAAAGGGCACCTCCCTGAAATTAGACGGGAACCTCCCTGAAATAAGGTTTTGCAGGTTGGGATGTCTGGATACAGCAGCTACAGATACAGCAGCTACAGATACAGCAGCTATATTTTTTGCTTAAAGAGGTACAATCCTTGTGTAATACACTAAGTATGGAGTTTTCTTTATGAGAAGTCATTAGAAATTGGTATAATATCCCAGCTAACACTTTTGAAGCAAATACAGCAACTGCTTTTTTCCTTCAGAAAAAAAGGTTTGTAAATAAAAGCTGACCGTAGCTATAATGAATAACCTTATCTTTTGTAAGCCCCCTGTCAGTATAATAGTTTGTCCCAATTGTCACCCCCTCACTGTCACTGCCCCAGAATGCATTTATTCATTCGCCTACATGCACTTATTAACACTTTACCACTGCGCTGACATGCGCTTATTCACTCACTGCCATTACACCAATGCACACCTAATCACACACTGCCCTCACACCAATGCACACTTATAGACTCACTGCCATTATGCAAATGCACACTTATTGGCTCACTGCCATTACACCAATGCACACTTATTCACTCACTGCCATCACACCAATGCACACTTATTCACTCACAGCTATTACAGCAATGCATACTTATTCACTCACTGCCATTACAGCAATGCACACTTATTCACTCACTGCCATTACACCAATGCACACTTATTCACTCACTGCCATTACATCAATGCACACTTATTCACTCACTGCCATTACACCAATGCACACTTATTCACTCACTGCCATTACACCAATGCACACTTATTCACTCACTGCCATTACAGCAATGCATACTTATTCACTCACTGCCATTACATCAATGCACACTTATTCACTCACTGCCATTACACCAATGCACACTTATTCACTCACTGCCATTACATCAATGCACACTTATTCACTCACTGCCATTACATCAATGCACACTTATTCACTCACTGCCATTACATCAATGCACACTTATTCACTCACTGCCATTACATCAATGCACACTTATTCACTCACTGCCATTACACCAATGCACACTTTTTTACTCAATGACATTACACCTATATATGCACACTTATTCACTCACTGCCATTACATGAATGCACACTTATTCACTCACTGCCATTACACCAATGTGCAGAAGCCCCCTTGCTTCCACTCCACCCATGCACATTGATTCATTTGCTGCCACTGCACCAACAAGCATTTCATATTCATCCTGTTCAACAAACAGGCACACTTTCACTAGAATAAATAAAAGCTTGTGAAATAAAAAAAAAGGAATTCATATGCTGAACACTATCCTTACAGGTAGTTATGAAAGTGAAATATTTTTTGCTATAGTTGTCCTTTAAGCTCATCACAAACAGCAATATGAGAAATTATATAATTAGCCTTATGAGGGTTTAAGGTTTTTAAAATGGCACACAAATTTCCTAGGCTCTGCTAAAATACAGAGATACTTGCATATAGTTAGTTGCAGTCATTCCAAAATGCCTTTTACTATAACAGAAACTTGGATTGTAGCTATAATCTCCATCTAATAGACCATTGTGTTCAAGGACAGGTTCCATCATCCTCTCCGTCTTTGTAGTTGAGCATCAAGGCAATGTGTGAGAGAGCCCGGTCTTTCCAGTGTATTTTTCTTCTCCAGCTCTGATTTTCTATGAGCCTCATATCTCTGTATCTCTGTTCAGTCGTGTGTAGCCAGTGGGGCTGGGAAATGGCAGAACTGCCTGCAGGGTCCCATCGAGACGTGAGGGTATAAATCTGTTTTAGCCTTGACTTCCACGCTCCATTGGTCACCTAGCTGGAATTAGCACAAAGGATCCCTACATGACAATTCTAACGATGATTAAGCTCAGCATTGCCATTTTCAGCTTCTAGGCTCAAGATAATGGGTGAGGGGTGCTATTTTTTGTTTAATGATTTTCTACAGAACTGGGCTGTTGGAATGCTAAATCATAAATACATACAGGCGTGCATGCATGCACCAATATGTGTATTGATCTTCTGGCTACATATAATAAGTGCTGTTCCAAGCTTTGATCTCAAGTGCTTACATGTACTGTACAATTTTTTTTTTTGTGAATATGTAACACCAAACACATAAAATCTAATTGGTGATTGACTACTGGAGAAACAATGCCAGACAAAATGTATCCCAGAATCCTGCTGCACTCCTTACCGGGTATCCCTGTCAGCGTGGGTGCTCGAAGAGCACACCATATTGAAGTGAAGAACACGTCTTTTTATTGACGCTTCATTTAAAAACAAATAGCAATGTTTCGGGGGCCACACAGGGTCCCCTTCATCAGGCTTGATGTGGCCTGGTGTGCTGGTGACATCTTCAACAATGCCAGAAAAGGTGCAACAGTACCTTTAATATACCCCAGCATGACTTTACCCAAAAGGAAAAATAACAGTTTGTCAATAATTGTATTTTTTTGCACAGGACCGCACCCCCAATACATATGTTGTTTTATTACTATAGACAGACTACATCATATATGTTATGTTTTCTTCTCCTTTACTATTAATCAGTTACTAAAAGTATAATCGATTTTTGTTCTTTGAAAATGCTTGTAATGCAAGTTCACAGAATATGGAGAAAATACATAAAATAAGAAAAATACATGCCAGTAAATAGAAAGTACAAGAAGTTCTTTCAACACAATAGTGTACAGCCCCTGACAGCATTTTATTATGTATGTTCTAAGATATAATATGTGTTCTAGTATATGCTGAGTGATGAAATTCAGAATAGTGCAAACAAATATTCTGTCTTATTCCTTGTAAAGAGAAAGAGCGTGAAAACACAAGAAAGAGTGCAGATGGTAGGAGCAGTATGGCCATTATAAGATATGATTACTTCTGGTCTCTCTATTCACTTCACTGAATTGGCTTATTCTTTACACGTGAACCCAATCGTGGCTCTTGCTCTCTGTCTGGACACTGATAAAATGTTGTGGCTCGCTAAGCAGCCAAGAGTTTCATCTAAAGCGCTTTAGCAGGCCCAATCCCAAGGCTTCAGTTTATATGCGAGACCCATACATCAAAAAAAAGATCCCTGTGTTCATTACTGTATATATTACTGGCTATCTAGGAAAGCTAACATTTACTATAAGAGTTTTAGGACCTTTTGAACTCTGATGTGCTTCTATGGGTAACTTAAACATAGTAAGCCGCTAACAAGTCTGCTCTTAGCCCTAATTAAATGGTGCACAAGAATGGGGTTGATGTACAAATATTGACAAATGTAATTAAAAAAACTTTCACAAAGATAATTTTTTTACAAAAAATGAACAAGCCCCCAAAAATACAGCTATTGTCTTTATTTAAATTTTCCAAGGGAAGGACAAGGGACCCAGTGCAGCCTTGCATCACTATGGCTGATAGAAGCAGCACTTACTGTATAAAAGCAACAATACTGTTTGCGGAGTTTTGTGTGCACAATGAATATTCTCAGGGGGTTATTGGACCCAGCAACACACACACAGCATTTGTCTAATTTTCTGTGTACAATAAATATTCACATAAGGATATGGAACCCAGCAAAACAAGGACAAGGGACCCAGTGCAGCCTGGCTTCATTATGGCTGATTAAAGCAGCACTTACTGTATAAAATCAACAACAGTGTTTGTAGAATTTTCTGTGTACAATAAATATTCACAAATGGATATGAGACCCAGCAACACAAGAACAAGGGGCCCAGTGCAGCCTGGCTTCATTATGGCTGATAGAAGCAGCACTTACTGTATAAAAGCAACAATAATGTTTGCCAAATTTTCTGTGCACAATAAATATTCACATAGGGATATGAGACCCAGCAAACCAAGGACATGGGACCCAGTGCAGACAGGCTTCATTATGGGTGATAGAAGCAGCACTCCCTGTATAAAAGCAACAATACTGTTTGCCAAGTTTTTGTGTGCACAATAAATATTCACATAGGGTTATGGGACCAAGCAACACAAGGACCCAGCGCTCCCTGAAATCATTATGGCTGATAGAAGCAGCATTTACTGTACAAAAGCAGCAATAGTGTTTGCCAAATTTTCTGTGCACAATAAATATTCACATAATGCAATCACATCTAAAATGTATAGGTTTTGCTGTTATTTGGGATTTTCTTCAAATTTAAGGTTGCTAAACTAGGATGGCCCTTTAATAAAATAGCCGCACCACTGCTAAAAGTGCAGTTAATCAATAATACTTGGCTGGAAATGGGATCATTTGACAACCCAGTATTAGGCACAGAAAACATGGTTGCATTTACAAATATGGCTTTAGAGAGCTTTATTTCGCAAGGTTGTGTTTTTCGTCCAAGTCAGGATTTACCCTCAAGGAAACGGCCTATGTGTAATCTGCGTAACATGCGTATGTGCTCATGGTTCGATAGGCAGATGATTTTTGGCAATCTTTTGACAAAGGTTCCTTTTTTTTTCTCTTTGGAATAACGTCAGAATGAGGTCCTGCAGCGTCATCGCAGAGCCTTCCCATGTATTTTGTCCCATAAAAATACTATTACAAAAGACAGCACTGGTAACCAATAGGTGGCTGAAAGTGTTCAGGGAGGGGGTGTCGTGTCTGGGCTCTTGGAAGGGTCTGACGCGTAGAGGAGAGAGATCTGAGTCACTTAGAGGAGTACAGTCCTCTACCAGGCGGGTTCAGCACCACAGACAGCTCCGCACAGAGGAATCTGCTCTGTGCAGATTCATACAGCTCTCCTGCTCATTGCACCATTGACTACACCGCTCTGTGCTGGGCACCCTTTACTCTTCACACACACTTCCATCCCCCTGGCAGTTATTTCCCCTCCGGCAGGCACTCATCTTTATTTGGCTGTTTATTTCTATGCTCCTGTCCAAGGGATTCAACAGCATCACTAGCATCAGCTGCCATCCCACTTCTGTCTGCACTTCTCCAGGGTTGGGATGGCATCTCCTGGCTCTGGATTTTGGTCCTTAGGGGGAGAAGAAGGGAACAGTGAATCAGACAACCTAGGCGCAGGTGAGTGGGCTGGATCTGATTATTCCCAAGCAATCGGATTATTTAATTGACCCCCAAGACAAATATTTAGCATCATTCAGGTCAACAATTCAAACTCCCTTTTTATCATCACACTCCTCTCAACATAGGAAGAGAATGTATTTTGTTTTATTATATTTCTCCATAGTTAACGTACTAAACTTACCTTATAGTAGTATTAATTGGTAGTATATAGTAGCAGTAATAATTATTAGTATTAATAATATACATAATACACATACATTTAAAAATATTCATATGCCTAAGATATAGAAAGTTTTGATGGTTCGTTAATAAAATAAAAACAAAAATTAGAATTGGAAAAGAGAAAGGAAGGAAGGAAAGAAAGAAGGAAAGAAAGAAAGAAAGAAAGAAAGAAAGAAAGAAAGAAAGAAAGAAAGAAAGAAAGAAAGAAAAAAACACATTGATGCAATTTTTTCTTTTTTTTATTTCCAGCAAAAGCATGGTGCCAGGTTGCTCAAAAATTTACTGGGGGAATCAGTTCAAAATTATGTGGTGAGTATCAATGTTACCTTTTTTATGTCATATTACAATATTGCATTATTATATATTTTATTTTGTTATTACATTTTACTTTATTCTATTTTGGTATCTTACATTGTGTTATGTGATAGATACACATACATAGCAATCAGATATCTGGCACAGATATAAACATATTAACATTAATTTTCTCCCTGTCTAGCTATGCTTTATGGAGAGGGGGAAAAACCCAAAGAGTCCACTAACAAAGAGGAAATGTGCACCGGTGACCAAGGATTTGAATCAAGCTATAACAAAAAAGTATGCAGCTGCGACAAGGACGAAATGAACTTCTCTTTATTATACTCAACAGGTATGTACTGAACAGAAAAATAATAAATTCGTACTTTAAAATAAATTCTTCCTTTCAAATATAAAAATAAATAAATGTAAAAACATTAAATATGTGGAAAAGATTATATTTAATTATTTGTACAGTTGGTTTTTATTTGTATATATTTTAGATTTTAAAAAATGTTATCTTGAAATGTGTGATCAAATAATGTTATCTTTTTCTGCAGTCCACCGAACATAATTTTTATTTAGGAATTGTGTCTCTTGCCCAGTGAAGCCTCTGGATTAGAGATAAGGATTTAATTGACACACTATGATTAGGGCAATTGTTCTGCAAAATCAGTTAAATTAAGCCTTAAATGATTTAACATGAATGCACATTTTTTTAAACTATCGCAGATGTCACATTAAAATAAAGAAAGAAAAAAAAACTCACAACATTTACATTCTTTACTATTAATTTAAAAATATATAATACACATAAATGTATTAAAACACAAAATGTAATGACATTAAAACATAATAATTATAAAAACACAACAATGTAATAATATTTAACATCCTCTAAAATTATTTATTTAGATTCATGATTTTTTTTTTAAATCAGAAGAAGATTTCGTTTAGAATCAGAAAATCAGAAAAAAACGGAATAATATTTTATTGCTCACAGTGCGAGAATAAAGATAAATTATCCTAAATATTTCCTTTTCGTTTTTCAGACCTCTTTCCTGCCAAAAATGGAGAGACAGAAACAATGCGTTTCTTACAACAAGTTATAGACATTTTATTGCAATATGTGGTGAACACCTTTGACAGATCGACTAAGGTGATTGATTTTCACTATCCCAATGAGCTTCTTCAGTCATATAACTGGGAACTGTCTGACCAGCCACAAAGTTTAGAGGGGATTCTGCTTAACTGCAAAACCACCTTAAAATATGCTGTTAAAACAGGTAGAGTATCCTCTTTTTTTTTATATATACAGGGCATATTATTGTGCGGGCAATTTCTCAATTTTAAAAATGTACATATTATTTCAATATTTGTTCTAAAAATGTTTAAAATGATGTATTCTTATTTTTTACTTACATTTATTTATTTAATTTCTATTGAATTTGTAATGGTATTTTAGTCCTATATGTTTTTTCCCCTTGGTCATGCAGCTTAGGCATATTAGTAATTGTCTGCAGATAATTATGGCTATATAGTGTGCAGGTGTATTATCCTCTATTACTTGATTGCAATGGTGATTGCTTAGTTTATTCCACTATTGTTGCATACAAGGTATCAAATGTATTTCACAAATGTTTTTATACGTGCTCCTTAAATGCTTTTTATATGTGCAATGCAGGCACGAATGATGCACATCTTGTATGATTCACCTCTATAAAATCTATTTTATTAGCAGTCACCTGTTTAATTGGTTCTGCTTGCATGAACATACTGACATTGTTTGAGAATGCTGCTTCTTTGTTTCATCTATTTGTTCAGAATAGTTTTCAAGTAGGGTTTCTAGTTGGACACCACTGCTTCTGGGGCCAATCCTTAGGGCAGAAGCTGTCATGTGTGACCTACTTCATCGTCCTTATTGTAATGTCATTGCTTGCCACCAGTTCTTTTTGAGAATGCTTCTAGCCCCCAAACCAATATATATATATACATATATATTGTTTGTATGAATGTGTGCATTTTTGTGTGAATATTACTTAATTAAATTATTTTATGTATGTGTGTGTATGTTGCATGAACATTGTGTGTGTATATATGTATGTGTGTGCCTACATGTGTATGTCGTGTCTGTGTATATTTTGTACGAGTGTGGTATTGTGTGTTGTTGAGTTGTCTTATGTGAATGTTGTTTTTCTGTGTGTATATGTTTTGGATACATCTGGGTACATGATGTCAATTATCAGTTTTAAATGTATTCCTAGTTCAATTCGTATACCTACAAAATGGTTTCAAAGTGAAGGTTATGTTCCACAATTTGTTTTCCTTACGAAATCTACAGCGTGAAGCCGCTTTTTGTCACCTCGATAGGTGGTGTTAGTCTAAAGCAATACCTTTGAATGTAACGGCTTGTGTAAATGCATAGTAGTTTTTAATCCTTGGCATCGAAAGTAGAGTGCTTTGACGTTAAGTAAAAAAAGTAGAGTGCTTTGACGTTAGATTGCTGATGAAGTCATACAGTTATATCAATTAGACGATATTGATTATACTGCTCCTGATATTTGTTATACAAATATAGCATCAAGTGCATGTTGCAAAGATTTATTTTAGGATAATTTTGACATTACTGGGCCAATGGCATGTTGTTTTCAAATAAATAGCAAATATATTATATATATTGTATGTAGACTGTGTGTCTGTGATGCTATAAAGTAACTATAACCTAAAAGACCCAGCGGTTGCTAAGGAAGAAATATTGGGGCCCTTTATCGCCGTATCTGGCCAGACCTGGTACTGCAGCCGATTCTCTGCTTTGTGAAATGCACGTTTTACCTTTCTAGATTGGAATCTAAAAACATATAATACCATGTATACAATAATATTCCTCTGTCAGTTTATATACAAATATGGGATAATATACAGTTAATAGATAACTACTGTATATATAAAAGCTTCAGTGTTTTTGTAAAATAAATGTATTTACTAAACAAAATGTTTGTTACATAGAAGGAAGCAAGAGATTCCAGTGAAAGGTGAGCACCTAGCCTGGAACTTGAGGGATTGTTCACATCATCTCCAGACCAGATCTGGATTCATTTCTGCAAACTCATGTACGCACATTTTCGGTGCCTTTTTTTTGTTCTCAATTGGTTTGTTTGGGATTTAAGCATGTTCCAGTGCATTCTGGTGCATCTACATGCATGTTTGTGCATTCCAGTGCAGGAAAAATTGCGCATTCTGTACTTTTTTAAAAGCTCTGGAACTGAATGCAATGGTGTGAACTAGTCTCATTTGATATATGTATTCCAGAATCCTGCTGCACTCCTTACCGGGTATACCTGTCAGCGTGGGTGCTCGAAGTGACCGCAGATGGCGCCGCCAATACTGAAACTTGTTAAAGATGTCACCAGCACACCATATTGAAGTGAAGAACACGTCTGTTTATTGACGCTTCATGCCAAAACATATAGCAACGCTTTGGGGCCACATAAGATCCCCTTCATCAGGCTTGAAATGACAATGACAATGTAATTTCAAGCTTGATGAAGGGGACCCTGTGTGGCCCCACGTTGCTATTTGTTTTGGCATGAAGCTTAAATAAACAGACGTGTTCTTCACTTCAATAAGGTGTGCTGGTATCATCTTTAACAAGTCTAATTTGAAACCATTGGAATTACTCTGTATGCGTTTTTGGCACAGATAAAAAAAACATTCTGGTCTGAAGATGGTGTGAACAGGCCATCAGTGGGGATATTTTACTGTTGGAGTCCATCAAAATAGTATAAGGAAATGGGGGTTAAGCCTTGTAACATCAGCCACCTAAAATATCAGTTTTGGGTAGACCGCCCCTGCAAAATGTTATACTGGTGGCTGGGTTATATTGTACACAAATATTCATCCTCCTAATATACCATATGTGCACTGCTGGCTCTAAGAATGGTTGTACATCTTCTAAACCAATATCTAAATGCATCCCACAGTATTTGTACATCGGGGCCAAGTAAAACAAGTGTTAGGGCTTATACCAGTATTTCCATTGTGGGAAATATATAGCACTTGTTGTATGAAGCGCAAGACTACATAGGATTTTATGTTTTCATGTTCTGTCTAAGGCCAAAATGCAGCCATTTTGGAAAGGGCGGTGACTTGATTATTAGCTGGCTCTGTCTAAAAAGTGACCTGGTAATCATGTATGAATCTGCATGATAATGACCCAAGGACTAGAAAGAGGGACCATAGAAAGCCCTAGGGAAATCGTGCCTTATATAACATAGTACATACAGAATGTGTATATGGTAATCGCGTAGTTTGTGATCAGAAATCAAGTTTTAGTAGTCTGCTATTTCTGAGCTTTTTGATTGGATGTCTGTAAGGGATGTTTACATATTTTGGACCAATCCTTCCCAATGTAGTAGTAGTAGTGACACAAGTCATGTTCTATGATTAGGAAATCTTCTTCCAGCCAGAAGGAAGGACTAGAGTTACTGGGTTAAAGGTTATCCAGCAGAAGCAGTTGTGGGAGTAAGACCTTTCTTTGTTTGTTGAGTCATCACAACCTGCCATACTATTGCCAAATAAAGTTCCCCTATGGCAGGGACCATGTTCTCTCAGGGATTTCCTGCATCATGGAGTGTTTAAGAGACTTTCACGGAGTAGGGCTACTACTCAGATACAGATACAGCATTTAGAGTTGAATGGCATTATTGTTGTTTAATTGATTTGCTGTTAAAGATGTTGTGTTCTATGTTTAGAACATTGGTGCCATCAAAAAATGTCTAAGTGGGAAGTAAAGTGAGTGCCATTTGGGAGATGAAACTTGGGCAAGTGTGAAAGCTACACAGGCATTGCTATACTAAGAGAGTAGGAATGCAGTGTATAGAAGCTACACAAATTGGCTACACTGAGAAAGAACACCACACCTCTGAAGTCTGATGCCTGGGATGAGCAATCACAATGGATTGGACTCTTGAAGAAGGAGATATAAGGCCTCCAGTGTTCAACAGGAAGTAGAAATTCTAATAACAATGGAATGTAGAAATTCTAATAACAATGGAATGATAGTACCTCAGTGGCTGACAGAGATCTGACTGAAAAAGGATCTACAAAAACTAAATGCGAACAAATCACCAGATCCAGATGGCTTTTATCTATGAGTCCTGAAAGAACTTTGTAGGGCTATTTAGAGCAATAACTTCACAACAAGACACAGAATTAGTGCAGCTAGATCTGGAAAATGGGAGTGGATGCAACAATGCGGATGCGATTTAGCATTGAAAAATGTAAAATTATGCACTTGGAAGCTAAGATCCTGCATGCAAATTATTCTTTAGGAAATGCTCTGCTGGGGAAGTCATGGATGGAGAAAGATTTGGAGGTCCTTATAGACCACAGGTTCAGCAATAGCATGCAATGCCAAGTTGCAGCTAGCAAAGGGAACAGGATACTGTCCTACATTAAAAGAGGGATTTTTGCAAGAGATTACAACATAATTCTACTACTTTATAAATCGAACATCCCATGGAATTTGTTGACTTTTTCAATATTTTATATTGGATCTTGATTAAAAAATGCCTACAAATAAATGACATGCCATATTCATTTGCATGATTTAACTGAATGCAAATGTCGATTTCTCATATGGGAAAAGAAAGCTCAGCCCTACATTGACCACCATTTGAAAATCCATAAAATTTGTAAATCCGGTATTCCAGATTAGATGCCAATGCATAGAACCTCCTTAGGGAGTATGAGGGTGGAACTTGTCTTATTTAAACCTCAGATATCTAGGGTATGGCATTCTCTTTGCTGTTAATATGTGTGGTGTTATGATGCCAAGATCAACAGAGCTCTCTAAGGCCCTCAGTAAGAAAGTTGTGAACACCTAATGTATGAGTATGATCCCCAAATGATTTTAAATCAATCAAATAACTGTAAGGAAAATAATCTACACAAGGTGTAGATTGCAAACAACTGTTAATGGCTGTCCAGGGCTGGCTGTCCAGGGCTGGCTGGCCCAGCAAATTCAACCCAAGATCTGTTCAGCTGATACTAAAAGAAGTCTCTTAGAACCCCAAAATGTCATTCTGAGGTGTTCAGGTGACTCTTGCAACTGCTGGGATCAAAGTGCATTCATCTAATATCAGAAAGAGATTGTACCAATTCAACTTGCAAGAGAGATGGTTAAGAAAAAAAAGCCTTTGCTGTCCAAAAAGAACATTACAACAAGTTTACAGTTTGCCATTGAACATATAGTCAAAGATCAGGCCTTCTGGAACAATGTACTGAA